TTGCGTCAGCCACAAGGCCAGTGGTTGATCGTGAAAACGCAAAGTGAGAATTAACTAGTATAAGGCATTGTTCATAACCCTCACACTGCGTTTGGCAACGATGACTGGTGACCATTTCTGTTCATAAAGGTAATTACGTATTGTGACTGCGCCTGAAAATCACATAAAGACTAGATTAATTATCATATTGTTTTATTTTATTTTATTAGAGAATATATGATAATTTTGAAATTTAAAAGACCAGATTGATTGAAAAACACAGTGAATTTAGTATGAAAAAGAAACTAGAGCTCTTTTACGATTTCATTGTTCGGCAATAGGGTCCTTACAAAAAGATCACGACATGTATATCGGGATAACAAAAGTTTAATGTGTACTAGAAATATACATAATTGGTCTGCTCCCAAATCATTAACCCTGAGCAAATTATAATTCTTAAAAAATTATCAAAACTACACTTTTGAGTTTAATTAGAAAAATTTGTTAAATTTAGAAAATATATTTACAATAATAGAAAAAAGATTTCTAAGTACGTATCTAAACAAGTAATTTGAGAGAATCATAAATATTTAAATATCTAGAGATTATAAAAATTACAAGTTTACAAGCAATAAACAAATGATGGATGCTTATCACCCAAAATAACAGCCTCTTCTTTACTTTTTCCTTTTAAAAATCTTTCTGGATATTTAATTTTAAGTTTATTAGCTCTATTTAATAAAGAATATTGAACTATCGATAAGGTTATCGTAAATAATAAAAGAAATATCACAGTGACATGACCAAATTTATAAGCTGGAGCGTCTTGAGGTTGGTATAATTGTGAAGCTGGTATTCCAGCTATGTTACCACATGCAATTATAATTGCACTACCTACAGCACGTTTCGAATTGCCAGCTAGATTATTTGTTAACCTTTTGAAATTTCAGAAATTTTAGAGTGGGTAAGAAGAAATATACATACTGTAAATGGAAAAATTATACGTGTATGTATAGTGATATAATAATCTTACCATGTAATTGATACAGGGACACATGAAGACAATCCCATGCAAACAATACAAAGTCCGATATATTTTACTAAGTACCAAATAATATTATTATTAGCCTTTAACACGGTTTAAGTCAATAATATAATATTAAAATTTACAGGTAAAAAAAACTTACTAGCAATACCGGAAGTCGGAATCACAAGTAATATATATCCTACAATTGCTACCAATGAATTACAAATTAAATATGGACCACGAACTCCGGATCGATCAGATAATATCGAAATCATAATCATTGTAAGACATCCCAAGATAAAAGGAGGAACAGAAAGAAGTTGAGAAATAACTAATAAAATATTCAATGGAAGAAAAGTAAAATTATCGATTTTTATATAATATATATTATACAGTAAATAAGGAAAGGTAAGCATACCAGGATTAAATCCCAGACCATTTACAATTGACGGAATAAAGAAAGAGTAAGAATATCCAGGAATTGCCGCAGTGAATTGTATAAATAAAGCTATATAGATTTTCTAATAAATAGAATAATAAGAATAAATTAATAGTATTGTACATCAAATAATTTAACCTATTCATAACAGATAGGTAATATTTATGAACGCACCCAATCCTTAAAAGCTTCATATATTTGATGTTTATCCAAATCATTTGTGGTAATATCTCCTAAATCATTTTGTAAACGATCAATAATAATCTTTCGTTCATCCTCTTTAAGCCAAGTAGCGGTCTCTGGAAAATCCGAGATCAAAAAATAGGCAAAAAATGCAACAAAAACCGTCGCCAATCCGTCAATAAGAAATATCTAAATTTTTTTTTTTTTTTTAAAAAAGACATGAAAATTTGTGATTGTTAATTGATAAAACAAAGAATTTATACGCACCCATTGCCAACTACTCAATCCAAATCTACCATCCATACCCATAATAGCATATGCCAAAAGTCCACTAAATGCACCAGCAATCATACAACCAGCAAAAAACAAACCAACTCTGTAACTTTGCTCAGATCTTTTATACCATTTTGTAATATAATATATGACGCCAGGAAAAAGACCAGCCTCAAAACATCCTAATAATAATCTTGTCACCAATAACTGATGGTAATTTTTTACCTTATTATAAAGAATAATAACTCAGAATTTGAACTGTAAATCACTGATTACCATAATTACTAAGAGAAATATTTAATGCTTACGAATGCCATAGATATCATTACGATACCCCATCCGACCATGAGTGATGAAACTACCAATTTAACAATGAGAATAAGTACGTAAGCACGTATATTTATATAACTAGAATTTTTTTATCTATAGAATAAACTCACTCCAAATTGAAGGTTTTATTTTAATTAATACAATATTGGATGGTACTTCGAAAAATACATAAGTTCTATAAGAAATAAAAAGTTCAAGATTAATCAAGGATAAAGAAAAGAAAATAATTCACTTATTAAAAAAATTTTTTTTTTCAAATTTCGAGACTTACACAAAAAATTCTCTGATTTTTCCTATTCGTTATAAATGACACCTGATAGTTTACGAACGATCAGAGATATCTGATGTTAAATTTACATTTTATCTTTCAAAAGATGATTATGTAATTATGATACAATGAAAAAAAAGAATTGATCCTAATTGATTAAAAATCAGTTTTATCAATTAAGATATAAATTCTTGAATTTTTTTTTTTTTCTTTAACGTTAAAAATTGCATAAAAAAAATCATGACTACATACTCAAACAACTCAAATGATAATAAGGAAGTACTAACTGAAATCTCAGGTGCCGAAGAAAAAAGATTATTGAGAAAGATTGATATGAGAATAATTCCTTTATTTATACTTCTT